AGCTCTCTTCTCCTATCTAAAACACACACACACACACACACACACACACACACACACACACACACACACACACACACACTTCTCAAAGCTGTTTGTCCATGAAATTGAACTACTTTTTTGTGGCCCAAAAAACTCTAAAGAAAGAAAGAAAGAGAGAGAGAAAGCAAGAGAGAGAGAGAGGGAGAGAGAGAGAGAGAGAGAGAGAGAGAGAGAGAGAGAGAGAGAGAGAGAGAGAAAGAAAAATAATAAGGGAGATGAGCTTGACCTGCTGAATGTAAAGTGTTGTCATGGCAATGATGTGGTTGATGTAGGAGCAGGTGCCTATCTCCTCCACATTGGACAGGTTCCTTTTGAGAAACACGCAATTGCAAACACACAAAAGCATCAGTGCAAAGACAACAAAGAAAATAAGATATCAATGACCTTTCAAATGACATTACAGTATCTTGTGTCCAATAGATATGTTTGTTGTCCTGACCTGCAGACAATGATGAGGAACTTGAGCAGAAGTAGTGCCAAGTTTTGCTGCTCAGGCTCCAGACCATCAGAGGCTTTTTGGACGCATTGCAGAAGCTGGTGGCGCAAAACCTGTAAGATGTTGTCTGGCAGAAGACTCAGTACTGGCGGGGGCTCCTCCAGCCTGCACATACAATTGTATTATAACACAACATGAACTTTTTGTGTTTCCCCAACTAAATGCAATATGGTTGCAAAAAGCCAACATTTTATCTTTTCTTTCATTAGCTGGGTATACATGAAGACGTGTATTCCGATTAGAATGAATCCAAATAACTAAACCAGGGGTGTCAAACATACAGCCCGCGGGCCGGAACCGGCCCGCAAGGAGGTTCAATCAGGCCCGCAGGATAATTTAAAAGTGAAAAAAAAAGCATAAAAGACACAGAATTAATATTTTTAATAAGGTGCAATTCATTGAGTATCCGCAAGGGGACACTGTTTTGATCAGAGAAAAAGACAACAGCAGCCTCAGTCCGTCACTGAGACAGACCCATGACAGCAGACGCTATCAATAGCACTCTCACATTTACACATTTAATAGCACTCTCCTTAGTTTGTAAGGTGTAGGCAGGGATTACATTTAGATTTTATATGCACGTGTAAATGCTTTAAAACTTGCTTTCTTTATGAATCTTGTTTAATCTTAAAGTGCATTACTATATTTTTCAATACCAATTACTTGTTAAAGTTTGTACAATCAGTGGGATCAGTTGCAATGCATATATGTGAATGATAAAAGTAAATTGCACATTTGTCGAAGGAAATGTAAGGTGCTTCCTGAAATGTTTTGTAAAAGATATGTTCATTAAATTTCAACATTTTCCACATGTTCTTGTGCTTATTTTGTATCAAAACAAAGGGAAGACAGATTGTTTTTGTTATTTATAGCAAAGTATGGTATCATTTTAATGGTCCGGCCCACTTGACATCTACCGAGGCCGTATTTGGCCCACCATGTGAAATGAGTTTGACACCCCTGAACTAAACGGAAATGAAAATGTTCCAGATAAACACCTCAATTGGAATAAAAAGGCCAAACCCGGATTTCATTTTTTTTTTTTACATTGATTCAAAGGGGTGGTATATTACTTTTGCCAATCCGACCACAGCATCATGTAGAATGTAAGAATAACCAAGCTGTGTCCGATGAGCACATGCTCGGTCTTGACCTAAACATGTATTGACATTGTCGAATACGTACTTTTAAATGGCAACATCTTAGCAGAGCTCATCTGTGATGGGAGAACTTGTTTTAAAGTACTTGTAACTTATTTTTAAGATGTTGTTTTGATAAAAGTTTTAAAACTATCACAACTACTGTCCTAAACAGATGAATGAACTCGATCTTGAACAATCATGTGATGTTTACCAGTGTTGTGTCCAAGGACCGGCAACCCGAGGCCAAGGCCAAGGCCAAGGACTTGCCTCCGAGGCCAAGGCCAAGGCCAAGGACTTGGAAAATTTTCCGAGGCAAGGCCAA